GCATGCCGAAATCTATCAACAACCGTCCACCAGTTTGCACAATCAGCCTGCGCGCGCGCACTCACGAATTCGAACCATAGGTCGTCCAACATTGTCATCAAATTCTGCCAAACGGACCTCTCGCGCCGCATGTCGAACTCATCTGGACGCCCTTGCGCGCGTGTTGGGGGGCACGATCTGTGTCAAATAATACCGTCGGCCGCGCGCGCATGTCGAACTCTTCCGAATACATTTACCACCGACGCGAGGACACGGTCATCGTTATCGGCGGCCGTGCGCAACGTCGGCGCTGTCATTGGCCTTGACGTCGTCATCGCCACCATCGTCACCATCACCGGTACTCTCATCATCGTGTGTACCGTTGTCGGTGTCGCCATGATACCGCGCCCGCCCAAACCACCGACTCGCATTCAAGTGCCCGCTCGGGAGTGCCCGGCGGTCAGCACCACCGCGGCCGCGTCCGTCGCGTCGCACGAGCTGGCCGCTGCACGCGCGAGCATGCGCGGGTTAGTGCGGACACAACGATGCACCAGCCAACGCCAAGCACGCATCGCAATCGCCATCGCATGGGTTTTGCAAACCAAATTGCGGGTGGGTGGGTGGGATGGTTGCGCGAACAGTGGAGTGGACAATTCATTGCGAATTCTAGTGAGTTGCACTTCAAGTACGTTCCATCACAAATGTTGCACAGTATCGCATATATTGCACAGGACAGATTGCACCACGTTGAATTATCCTCTCTAAATAGGTTCTACCACCCTCCCCACCCCGATGTTAAAGACCCCCCGGGAACCGAAGCAAAGCACATAGGATTCTGACCCAATGTCCATCCTACCTCTGAATTCGTATTATCCCAGCCAAACCCGTATCGCCCACCCCCCCTGCCATATTTTGCAACAAATACTACGTGCGCGCACTCGTTCATCAAAGTTCATACGTTTTCAAAGATACCTTGCGACAAATGAGACGAAGTGCGCACGCGCGCGTTGTCGCGCGTGCATGCCGGAACCCTTCAAAATCGATGGTTTCGGACGGGTTTTCAAATCGAGTGTTCAAGAAAACATACAACAAACAACAGGTTTTGCAATACGGTTTATCTAGAAAAGCTTACGCGCGCGCTCTTGCGAAATCTTAAGAAAACCACAGGCTTTTCAAGACTTCGCTCGAACGCCCTTGCGCGCGCATGTCGAAATCGTTCGAACCCCCTTGCGCGCGTGCCGTCGCCAGAATCCATGCAACAAATGAAACGAAGTGCGCGCGCGCGTCGTCGCGCGCGCATGTCAACATCCGTCAAAAACCTTCGGTTTTGGAAGCATGTCAAAATCGAGTGTCCAAAAAATACACATCACAGGGTTTCGCAACACGGATTTTCAACAAACGTGCGCGCGCGCTCTTGCGCCGTTGTCGTTGCCGGTCCTCCTCCCTCGTCGTCGTCGTCTTCGCCATCGTCGTCCTCAGTGTTTCCTTGTTGTCGTCGTCGTCCTCTTTGGCGTCGTCGTCGTTTCCGTCGTCGTTGTCGCCGTGGTCGTCCTTCCTTCTCCTTCGTCGTCGTCGTCAGTCGTCGGCGTCTCGTCGTCGTCCTTCCTATTTCGTCGGAGTCGTCGTCGTCGTCTTCCCTCCTCCCTCGTCGTTGTCGTCGTCGGCGTCGCCGTCCTCCCTCCTTCGTCGTTCGCGTCGTCGCCGTCCTCCCTCCTCCCTCGTCGTTGTCGTCGTCGTCGCCGTCGTCGTCCTCCATCCTCCCTCGTCGTCGTCGTCGTCATCGTTGGCGACGTCGTCGTCGTCGTCATCGTCGTCGGCGTTGTCATCGCCGTCGTCGGCGTCGGCGTCGTCGTCGTCGTCATCGGTGTCGTCGTCGTCGTCGTCGTCGTCGTCGTTGGCGTCGTCGTCGAAGTCGTTGGAGATGCCGTCGGTGTCGTCGTAGTCGTTGTCGGCGGCGTCGTCGTCGTCGTTGTCGCTGCCGTCGTCGGCGTCGGTGTCGTTGCCAAGGGCCATTTTGAACCTACCGCCACGGTCTCAAGAGGTCTTGCGACCAAGTTGCGGGCTGGAGGGTGGGATGTTTGCACGAGCAGTGGAGAGGACAGTTTCAAGTTGAGCAAGCGATTGATGCACCACATTGATTGCACCACGACAGAGTTTGTCCCACATAGATTTCAGCAGTTATATTGCACCCTATGTCTTGCAACACATAGGGGGCACAACATAGGGCGCACAACATGCGTTACATATTTTCTGCTGCACAACGGACCTAGATCGCACACCCCGCATTGCACCATCTATGTTCTGTTTCACCTACATTGCACCACATTCACAACACCACATATATTGCACACCATAGATCGCGCAACCTAGATTTCACAGCGTATATTGCACAACCTAGATTGCACAACGTAGATGTCCCCACGCAGATTGCACCGCCTAGACTGCACCCGGGCTGCACAAAATGGATTGCACCATGTAGATTGTACATCATTTACATGTTTGCACTTTTTGCTAGAAGCGCACTGCTTTTGGTCCACGCTGGCTAACAGCATTCGTTGGAAACCATACAATTACAGCAACCATGCCGCCACCACAACACCAACAACAAAAGACACAATCCTCGAATGTCGCTTACTCACACCTCTGTCGCCAAAACTCCGTTCCCACTTCGGAGCAGACGAACGGGGGATCGGGTGGGAAAAGGAGTGGATGTTACCGCGCATTCCTTGATAAATGCAAACCTTCAGAGAAGAAATAGAACCGCATCGTCGCCGATGTACCTCGATATGATTAGCACTCTTTCCGCGAGCAACGCTTGAATATTCCAGCCCTCCCCGGCAGAATTGAGAATACAGGGTATGCCGGTGGGAGCGATTGGGGGGCGATCATGCGGCAATGACGACGAATGAGACCATAGTATCGGCAACGATGTTGCCGACGAAAGTTGTGATACACACTTTTGCCCACTCCACTCTATCCCGTTTGTCTTCGCTCCTTTGCATTTCTTCCATTCCTCCCCAACCCACTCTGTTCATTATTTGTCTTCCCTGGTGCATTCATACTCCACCCCACCTTGCTGCATTGTACTTGCTTGTTCGAAACGCAGGTGAATGAGCATCACATTTGTTTATGCGTGGCAGCGATTTCGTGCTAGAGCCTGATGTGTCCACCTTTCGTTATATGCTTAGTGTCTCAAGATAGTCAGCCGCATCAACTGGCGTAGAGCTAGAACAGCATAGGCGTAGCGTCCCGTTCGCTTGGAGCTCACGAGTTCTTAATCAGGGCTGGACCTAAACGGTGTTTTTGGCGATTTCGTCGGCCGTTTTCGTTTAGACTTCGTTCTGCGGTCTCCCCCCAGTCTTTGGTCATACGAGCCCGCCTGCAAAGCATGCCTCCCTCCGAAACGGCGCATACGGATCGGCCCTTGGGACAGAGTTATGTGGGATATGGAGTACACTGGGGGCGCGTGCCAAGAAACCAGTTGGATTTTGCTGGGGTGTCCAGGGTTTCTTGGACTTCGATGGGCCCCCAATAACCAAGATTTTGATGATAGTCGATCGACAAACTGGGAGTTTCATTAAACAAATCGCGGATTTCAGGGTTGGGTTTCTTGCGGAGGTGTCTTGTGGCCGAGCCCCCACTGTAAGTCTTATGCCTGCAACTGGTTTGTGCCCCGCCGTCGGGCACTTTCCTCAATACGCGGTCGCCTCCGGCACCTCGAAGCAAACTCCAGCTGCAAGCAGCTGGTTGACGAACCTCTCGCTAACCTCATGGGACAGAAAATGTGTGCACGTCCACGGCCTTTGATCCAGTTATCCTGGCCGCGACCCCATGTGGATACGGGTTGGCTGTGCGCGGATACCCCGCACGGAACGCATCCATGGGTCGTGCGTCTGTGGGATCGTGAAGAAACGGGGATCGACGTGCTCTATGAAATTCCCCTGGAAGGTGTTTGACCTCTCTTGGGGCCCCTTTGGGCCAGGATTCCATCCCGCATCGACTTTTGCATCCCCAAAGCGGCCTCCAGGCGCCCGAAATGACAGAACAAAGTAGATCCTCGATGTTGTGTTCTTTGATCTACTCGTCGCTCGTGTGTGATAACCACCTCCTGCGTCGTCCGCCCCGGCCCTCCCCTCGCAGATCGTTGAACAGATGCCGCTGCCTTGCCAGGGTGAGCGACGATGCCGCCGCCATGCTGCCTCGTCCAGGGCCGCGATGAGGATAGGGAAAGAGGGGGAAAGGAGGCTAAGGGTGGAGGAGGAGGAGGAGGAGGAGGAGAAGGAGGAGGAGGAGGAGGGGGGAGGAAGAGGAGAAGGAGGAGGAGGAGGCGAGAGAGGAGGAGGAGGAGGAGGAGGAGGAGGAGGAGGAGGAGGAAAAGGAGGAGGAGGAGGAGGACAAGAAGGAGCAGGAGGAGCTCTCAGTCGATGCCAGCGCCTGCACCTTCACTCCCCTCCCCTCTCGCATCGCCGAACCTCGGCGCGGCTGGCCGCATGGCCGACCCTCCCCCCCCCGCGGGTGAGCGCCCCGCTCTGCCGCATGCGCGCGCGCGGCGTGCGGCCAAGTCGGCCCCGCCGCCGCCGCCCTCGCCGCCGTCGCCGCGATCCTCGCGCGCGATCGCGCCGTCGCCGCCACCGCCGCGGCCACCGCCGCCGTCCTTCTCGCGGTCACGGCCCCCGCAGGAGCTCGATGTCCAGCTCGAGGCTCCTCAAGGGGGGGGGGGAGGTCCCCGGGGCCGATTTCTAGGGGAGTCTGGTCGGCGGATCCTTGGCGGGGCAACAATGGATGTCAGCGCTGACGCCCCTGACCCCTGAGTCCCAGCTGCATCCTTCTTGTTTCACTTTCTGGTTCCGGATTGGGGTAGTTTGATCGCCACTTCCCGCCGCGCAAGGTTGGGACGCTCGAGGGACGCTCGAGGGAAAAAGGATGTCTGCGCTGACGGGGGGCAGTTCCCTGCGACCTCTCCTGGCTGACCATGGCCTGTCGCTCGGCGCCCGCTCGGCAGCGCGCCCGCGCGGCCCCAGGACCGCATTCCGGCCAGAGCCGCCTGCCAGCAGGGCCCGGCCGCCGCCGGCGGCGCCGCTGCGCAGGACCGCCGGCCGGCCGCTGGGGCCGCGGGTGCGCGCGTTGAGCTCGCCGAAGCCGATGCTCGGGCCGGACGAGAGGGGGGATTGGGAAAGGGGGGGTTACGAAATTTGCGACATGCAGCTGGTTTCGGCCCCACGGAGGGGCCCATTCTTCGATACATAGCCGCCTCCGGCGCCGGGAGGCGCCGGGAAAATCAGCTACGTGAGCTGATTGTCAACCCCCCCCCTTTTGCTATCCCCCCCTTTCGCCCGACCCGAGATGCCGCCGTCGCCGTCGCTGCCCCCGCCACCGACGCCGCCGTCGCCTCCGCTTCGAGGCGGGACTCTATCTATAATCAGCGCTTGGGGAATCGAGCTTCGGGGGGCGCCGTTGGGCGGTGGATATGGCTATGCTCGGGCCTTGGGGGGCATATTTATCAACATGCGCCGCTTGCCGAGGCCCACGAAGTTCGATCCCCCATACAGCGGCTCCAGGCTCGTATCCGCCGTCGCCGCCGCCGCCGTCGTCGCCGCCAACCCCGTCGTCATCGGTGCCGCCAAAGCCGCCGTCGCCTCCAAAGTCGTCGTCCTCGGTGCCGTCGCCGCCGTCGTCGCCGCCAAAGTAGTTGTTATCGGTGCCGTCGCCGCCGGCCTCGTCGTGCTGCTCTCCCACGCGCACGGGTGCGCGCGCGGGGGAGGCAGGAGGGAGGGGGTGGGAGGAGGTGGAGCCCATGAGAGCGAGTCTTGTGACCGAGCACACCTCGAGAGGAAGGTAACCTCACGGGACTTGCACATGGGCGAGAAGGCAAAAACGGGTTTGGAAGCAGGACAGGGTCTCAGGAGTACTTGCACGCCTTGACACCACCAGGCCTGCCAGAGGCCTCACAGAGACGGGAAAGCGGGCAGGTCAGAACACTACATACCCACCTTGCTGACGAGGCTTCAGCACGCTCGATTCCATTTGTAGCAGGGAACTGAAGGCGACGATTGCTCGGATTCTCTCTGCGGGCCCAAAGCGCTGGTGGTGCAACTTACGAGGAGCTCGGGGTAGATCACCCTGCGTGCGTGCGGCAAACAGTCCACCGAATTCACAAAACACAGCCATGCCATAGAGCACGAAGGGGTCGCGCCGATCCTTTCGTCGAAGGGGTCGGAGGGAGCTTCAATGCCCCCCGTGGCGGCCGACTCGGGACTCAGGGCCGCTCCCAAGGACCCCAGGCGGGCACGGGACAATGACACGATCCGCGCTTAGGACCGCTTCGATACGAAGGTCAGTCACTACACCTACAGTCGACGCGGCTAGTCAGGACGCGCGCCTCCATCTAGGGTACGCTTTGTGTCCTTGCCTCTGCGGCCCGTCCTGTGCCAAAAATCCCCACTGCGGCCACCGTGTCCTTGCCTCTGCGGCCACTGTGTCCTTGCCTCTGGTCGCCCGCCGCCCCAAAAATCCCCACTTGGGCCTCCAAGGGTCTTGCGTCCTTGCCACCAGTCCTCAATACACGTCTTGACTGTAGCCCGAACATCAGAGAGCCTCTCGAACAAGTCTCTAGCCGTCATGCTGCTCAGCACAGTGCCGCACGCCTCAGCTCCTGGCCCGACCGTGGACTGATCGAGCCCTGGGACTTCGTCTGCCTGCCGCACGCACGACAAGGCCAATCCGAGACGCGCTCACAGTATCGCAACTCCGTGTTCACTCTCGCACTCGACTTCAGGGCTGGTTGGCACCCTGGGCTGCTTGGGAGGGATTACGCCACATCCCCACCTCTTGTGGGACACTGGTCCTGTTCCGATACAGCCTGTGCTGCGATGCTCTTGAATAGACAGTACGATAGAGTCCGAAGCCTTGTTTCCCACCCCGTGGTAATCAGCCCAAACGTTGCCGAGCCAGTTCTCGAATTCCTGCCTTTGTGCCAGTTCATCGTCAAGATCACGATGACCAGACATCCACGGGAACTGCTCTGGTTGCATGAATGGGGGCTCAAGAGACGGGGGCCAATGCAAACGGGGGTCAGCAAGGGCACCGGATCCTGCAAGATCCTGCGAAGACCCCCTCTGGCTGACCCGGGTTAGGGGGCCGCTCTTGGCCGCGAGGCGGCCGCGCATATTGGTTGACCCGGGTGTGCGAAGACCTGCGTTGCATTTTTTTTCCTGCATTGCAGTTGTTTGGTTTCTTGCTGACCTGGGTCTGGATTGACCTGGGTCAGAAGATCCCCGAACAAGTTGCCCGTGGGAGTAGGGCAAGATTTAGGCCTCCTTAACGAGGCCAGGGGTTGAATGGTCCCCAATCGTGCCGCCGCGTCGTTGATACATCTCAGGGGGGGGAAAAAAACACAGACAATTAATCGTCGATCCACCAGAAAATATGGCAACAAATATGGGAAGTGTGGGGGGAGACAGAAACCCAGAAAATGTATGACAAAATTTGGGCATCCTGTTATTTGTGTCTATTTATTTGTGTGTCCCAGGGCCCCTTCAACATCGGCGATGTGGCGCGAGCCAAGGAAACCCTATTGAGGTTAACGATCGTTTTCTGTATCTGAGCATGTACACGTGTACACCGATTTCCACTGTGGCGTCGTATCTCGAGTTCTGTACAGGAGGCCGCAATTCGGGCCTGACGCCGTCAATCAACGGCCTGCGACGAGTACTAGTTTCGGCTGAGGGGTGCAGAGTTCTAGGGGGGTCCACGTTGTCATGGCGGGATTTCCCTCACAGCTGCTAATGTGATGCCATACTATTTTTCTTGCTTGCACTGCTAATGGCCCACACATTCCCAACTAGTGTCCGACTAATGCCCCGCTAATGGCCCACTAATGGGCCCAAGAATCGCTCACAAATGATTTCGACCTACTAATGACGCACTGATGGCCCATGAGTGACCCGCTATTGCCTGTTGACGCACCAATGGTCCACTAATGATCTTCGAATGGTTCGCTTCCCAGATTTCTTTCGCATCGTCGCGGTTGCAGAGATGGTTCGTGCCAAATCGGGCTGTCATTCAGGAGGAAAAGAAACACACAGACACAATTAATCTTCGATTCCCCAGAAAATATGGGAAACTATGGGAAGTGGTGGGGAAGACAAAAACCCAGAAAATATAGGAAATAATGGGAATATTTTTATTTGTGTGTATTTATTTGTGTGTTTGTGGGCCCCTTCAAAATCAGGCTGTCATATGCGCGCCATTTGCCAGGTCCAAAAGGTACTGTGAGGCAGGGCCCTTCCTGACACCTCCAGGGGGCACCTCCGGAGAGGGCGCCCACGAGGCCTCCCTGAGCTGGGGACCGGGGACGTGTCGAGCGAGAGGGGTCGACTAGACGTAAGTCAGAGCCCCGAATCATCAGGGGTAACTCGGGTCAGGGATAACTCGGGTTCGCTTTTCGGGAATCCAAGCCCGAGTTACCCCGGACCCGAGTTACCCCGGATAACTCGGGCGTCCAGAGCCCCGAATCATCAGGGGTAATTCGGGTCAGGGCTAACTCGGGTTCCTGTTTCGGGAATCCAAACCCGAGTTACCCCGGACCCGAGTTACCCCAGATAACTCGGGAGCCTGTTTTTTTGATTCAGGCAAGTTTACTTACATGGCGTTCGCCCCCCCCCCCCCCCCCCTCGCCCCTCTTCAATCGAATACTAGCGTGCAAGTGCCTTTCGACTTGCGTGATTTCCGCGCCGCACCCCCCCCTGGGCTTGCTTCAGGCTCGGCCCCCCCCCCGTCCATGCAAGTAAACTTGCCAGAGTCTAACAAAAAAACAGGTTCAAGAGTGACCCTTCGCCAGAGTGACCTTTGGTGCGTGCTCATCGGGGTCCCCCTGATCGTTGAGCCCGATGCGATAGCAGCCGATTGCGCGCTTGGATTTGGCCACCTTGCGCCCCCGTAGTCCGCGCACCAAAGGTCACTTTGGCTTAGGGTTGTGGAGGATGTTCAATGGAGTGGAAGCGTATTGCCAAATAATTTCCAGATGTATAGAACATGTGTTAAGACTGTTTAATCATGTAAAGAACAAACTGTTCAAAACATTTCCAGGACATGTTTCCGACATTTGAAACATATTTTTGATTCAATGATCGGATTGTTAGAGTGTCCATTGCCATGGCATCCACAACTCTTGCCTAGGGTCACTCTTGCGTGTAGCCGAAGGGGGGACCACACCACCAGGTGGACCCTCCCTGGTGCCTCGCGCTGGTGATGCCCCCCCTGGCTGAAGAAGCAAAAGGTGTCGATACCGCTACACAGACCTCTCCCGGGGTGCTCTCTGACCCGGATGTCAAGCATGATCTTGCCGTGGCGACGAGAGCTCTCCAGGGCGAGCGGCGGTATCGGTATGTGTCTTGCTCTGATTGGTGGTGCCACGTTTCTTGACCCCTTGCAGGGGGATGGTTCCCGCCATTGTTGTCGACCCCGTTGGGCCAGAGCAATTCACTGCAGACGTGTGCGACAAGTGCGTGACGCCTGGACGGGGCGTCTTTGCCGGGCCTTGGGCTGAGAATCATTTCCGCCATGAATGCGCAAGGAGAGTCCGAGTCCTGATCAGGGGCAGCGTTAGGGGCATGAAGCTTAGATGTCTGGGGCTTTCGGACGTGTTCGGAGTTTCTCTCTGGCTGTCCTGTCTCGGGACGCGTTTCAGCATCTGCACCGCGCCGAGTGGCATCGGGGGGTGCCCGACTCGTCCCGAACGCCCGCCGGAAAGCCAGACGACGAGGATCTCTGATGGGACACATCGACCCCCAATCGCCGAATGATCGCCGATACGGGCCCGATAGCCCACCCCGCCCAGGACCGTGCGGATTTGCCATCGAGTGCCTATCGCCGATCTACCGGGGATGCATCGCCGATGTCGGTTCGATGCTTACCCCCTGACGCGATCCCCGACACGGTTCTTTTCCAGAAAGGGTCTTGAGGGAAACGGGTCCTTGAGTTGTTCGTTGCTTTCGGGCTCCCTTGGGCTCTCCCTGGGCCCCAGGATGGTCAGCGAGCGGCTCAGGATGGAAAGCTTGTCCTGCTGGAGGCCCCTGGGGTCCAGGACCCGCTTCGGTATATGTTTTGTGTCTGGTTGGTGCCCGGGGTCCGGGAGGAAAGATGTTGTTCAATGCTGAACGGTTCATGGGGTCACAAGCCTGAAATACATTGTTGCACATATGATTCGCATCACCTCATCTCGGTGCTAACCTTGAGGATTACTACACCAATCTCTGAAGGCACATTCCTAATAGTAGACTTGGCTTGGGCCCTTTGGGCCTGTCCATCTAAGAGATCGGGATGAGCTCACGGCTGGCTACGGGGGGTCAGAAACAAGGGACCAGGGATTGCATCGTCAGGGTTCAAATTTGCCGCACACGTGTAAAGAGCCCATGGTTGAAGGAGGTGTTCTGTGCTTCTGCAGTGACTCACAGTCGTGGAGTTCCCCAGCCATGGGCCATGGACGGAAGGGGACGAGGAGGAGGATGGGGATTGCCAGGGAGGGGGGCTGGGATTGCTCGTCCAGGTCATGTACTTAATCAAATGCTTTCGGGGTGCAACTCCTGGGAGATCAAATTCTGTTTTCGCCCTGGTCCGAAGCCCGGCTCAATCCAGCTTAATCCCGCTCAATCCGGCTTAATCCTGTGTGGAGTGTTCAAGTTCCCGGTGTTGGCGGTGGCCATTTGTGTGTTCGAATCTCCCAAGAAGGTCCTCCCAACGTTCAGGAGTTCCACTCGAAACATATGGTTGCTGGCGTGGGTCGCGGCGGCGTACGCTGCGCACAATTTGATGTACTTTGCGTGTTTGGAAAACATCTCTCCAGCAGGCTACCGAGTGCTCAGCCAGACGAAGCTCATCTTCACCGCGGGCCTCATGGGCGCGATGCTCGGCAAGCGTTTCTCGCCCAAGCAGGTCGCGGCACTGGTGTTGCTTCTCTGCGGCGCCATCTTCACGCAGCTCGGCGACATGTCGGCTGCCAGTATCCTTGGTGGAAAGGGCAACGTCGCTCTTGGTTGCAGCCTCACGGTGCTCTCGAGCTTACTCTCCTCGTTGCCCAACGTCTTCTACGAAAGGGTCTTGAAGAGCGATCGCGACGAGTGGACGTCGAACGTGCAGATGAACATATGGACCCTATTCTGGGTCGCGGTCATGTGGGCGTGCGGCGCTGACGAGGGCCTGAGGGCCATGCAGGGCGGGCTCGCAGGCCTCACGAAGAGCGTCGTGCATCTCACCGCTGGTTTCACACCAGCTGTCTGGGTGATAGTCTTTCTGAAAACGTTAAATTGTGTACTCGTCCCCGCGTGCCTGAAGTATGCGGACAACATCCTGTATAGTTACGCGAAGCCAGTGTCGATTGTGCTGACGTGCGTGACTACGGCGAGGATTACCTCAATCTTTCCCACGCGCAACATGATGTTCGGGTTCACGCTGGTGCTGATCTCCATGCGTCTCTACGGTCGCGGTTGAACGCATTTTCTATTGGCTCGATAACAAAGAGCCAGTGGTATGATATTGTGGGGGGCCTTGTGGTGGCCCGATGGGCCTTTGGGGGGGCTTTCCTGTGGCCCCAAGACTGCCAACGAAGGCCTCATGCAGCCTCACTTGAGCTCCAAGAGGGTGTAAAGTTTCTTGACTCGAGAACAGTAGCTTCCACCGTATCGCTTGTACCGCACATGTTGCACGTACATCATGTGAGAATTCCGTGTTGAGGACAAGGGGGGTAGACAAGGCCAGAGATGGCCCCCGCATGGTTTCAATATCTTTAGTTCTGTTCGTGGCTCACAGGGAAGAGTGGATAGAAGGATGGGGAGGAAGCGGAGGAGTAGGAGCGGGGGGGAATGGAGGAAGATAGAGTTCGAGTAGGAGGTTGGTGGAGCGTGGCAGTCCAGACGACGCAATGTAGATTTATCCGGTGATCTTTCCCTTGCATCGCATGGCCCGCTCGCGGGGTACTTGTTCATGTACGTACTCCGGCCCATACGCCCTTTTTCGGCTCCTCGTAGCAGATGACTGAGACGCTGTGCGCGTCCAGGCTACCTTCGGGCATTCGGTCCTATCGGCCTCGGTCCCACGTTTGCGCGCCGCCAGCTTCCCCCCTCCCCTCCGGCAGGACGGCGATGATGCGGCGCTGGCGGGCGGAGCACCAGAGCCAGGCGCGCGAGAGCCCTGCGGGTTGGCGGGCGTCTCGGCGCCACCCAGCGCCAGCCCGCGGCGTGCTTCCGCCCAGTCAACTGGCCCGTGGCTTTGCTTGTCTGGCTCGTCACCAGATCCCTGGATTTCCTCCCCCGCCTTGCCTTTCCCAGGGTTGCCGTGCCTCCACTGGCCTCCATGGATCCCTCGATCTCCCCCCGGATTTCGAAGGTCTTCCCTGGGATACCCGGGCGCAGCGAAAACACCGCGCCAACTGGCTATTTCCGCCCACGTCGGGCTTGACGGGCGGGATTTCAAAGCGGGCGGGTCGGGGTCGGGCGGGCGGGCCACGGGGAAGCGGCGGGGGGAGGGGCGGGGCAGCGGCCACAAGGCCGCCTGGCACGAGCTCGCGTCTGGAGGGGACGTGCTGCGCCAGCGCTTGCATGCCACCGTGAGGGGCTTGGAGGAGGAGGAGAAGGAGGAGGAGGAGGAGGAGGAGGAGGAGGAGACGCGCGGCACTGCGCATCCAAAAGGATGCCCTAGTTCCACACAGGAGGCTGGGAAAGCACGACCTTTGGACCCAGGACGTCTGCTGGGGTCGACCTCAGGCAATTCCCCCAGCCGCGTCCGGCCGTGACCACGAGGAGGTCGATGCCTGCACGCTCAGCCAGAGCGATGTGCGCCTCACTGGGCCCTCGGAGCCTGACCAGCGCGCGCACAGCGCCGCACGGCGCGCGCAGCGAGGGTGAAGGAGATCTTCTTCGAAACCGTCCCCGTCGCCGCCGTCAATGCCGTCGCCACCGCCAGAACTCGGGCCGGACGAAAGGGGGGGATTGGGGAAGGGGTGGTTACGAAATTTGCTGCATGCAGCTGGTTTCGGCCCCGCCGCCGGGCCCATTCCTCGATACATGGGCGCCTCCCGGCGCCGGGAGGCGCTGGAAAAATCAGCTACGTGAGCTGATTCTCAAACCCCCCCTTTGCTATCCCCCCCCTTTCGCCCGACCCGAAGAACCGTCGTCGTCCGCCCAGCCCACGCTGGCCCAGCGGCGGCGGCCGCTCGGGGAGGGGCTTGGCGCGAGCGGGGAGGGGAGGGGTAGACTCTGAAGCAGGGCCTCCGGAAGGGTTTGCGGATGTGCCCGAAGGCTGGGCCGTCTCGCCCCCCTCGCGTCCCCCCCTCTCTCAGGGGCATTGTTACCCGTCGGTCGTTGAAAGTAGGCACGTAGCATCCCGCAGATGCGGATGAGAGTGAGGGGGCGGTGGGGACGTCGGCAGTTTGCGAGACTCCTGGAGAAGCCCGCCGCAGGCGCCAAAATTTCACAAAAGATACAACGAGCCCGCCGCAGGCGCCGATTTCTTCGTCAAACTAATGTGGGTAGGTCGCGGGTGGGTCGCAAATGGGTCGCGGGTTGTTCGCTGTTGGGTCGCGGGTGGGTCGCGGGTGTAGAGGGCAGAAATTCTACCCCATAATGATCACCCCGACAAGCGAAGCCGTTCAGTAAACGCACACAAGGAATGAATCGAACAGGGCAGGGCTGTTTAGTAAACGCCCAGGGCCGTTTAGTAAACGTCAACTGTCGGGTCCGGGTAATTTTTCCTCCTTTCAGGGTGGGTCGCGGGGTGGGTCGCGGGTGTGTCGCGGGGTGGGTCGCGGTTGGGTCGAGGATGGGTCGCGGATGTTTCGCGGGGTGAGTCGCGGGTGGGTCGCGGGGCGGGTCGCGGGTGGGTCGCGGGTGGGTCGCGGGGTGGGTCGCGGGTGGGTCGCGGGTTAGGTCGCGGGTGGGTCGCAGGGTGGGTCGCGGGGTGGGTCGTGGGGTGGCTCGCGGGGTGGGTCGCGGGGTGGGTCGCGAGTTGGGTCGCGGGTGGGGCGACGACAATAAACAAGAACAATAACAACAACAACAACAACAACAACAACAACAACAACAACAACAACAACAACAACAACAACAACAACAACAATCATTTTACCCGAACGCTCAGTGTTCTCACCAGTGCCAGGGTTTTCATGCGACGCGAGACAATACCCCCACTTCGTGGGGGGGCAGTTCAAGCTCTACCAAATATCCAAACGACTCTTCGCGACCACCCAAACCCAGCTTCCCGCCCTATGACGTTGGGACACTTCACTTCGTGGCGTGCGGACGACCGTGGCTACTACACTGGCGTGGGGTACACACCCACAGAACTTGGTCACTTATTCGGGGCGCGCGTGTGCCCAGCATCCTGCAATTGTGACATACAATACATGACACAGACAGACAGACAGAGAGAGACAGAGAGCAGACAGAGAGAGAGACAGAGAGAGCGGAGTTGGTCACATTTTTGGGGCAAGTTCCTGAGATCGTCGTGTTTTTTGTTGGTCTTGCGCGCGCGAATGTCCACTTTACTTTTTTTTGCAAGGGATGTTGAAATTTGATTATGTAAGAACAAGAAAAAGTAGCTCGCGCGAGCTTATGTAACATAAATGTTGAAAAACCATTGGTTTTGTGGGAGTCGGACAGCGCGCGCGGGATGAAATTTGGACATTTTTTTTTGAAAAACCATTGGCTTTTTGATGTTTTTATGTTGAAATCGTTACGAAACCTAAGGTTCTGGAAGGATTTCGTCTTGCGCGCGCGAATGTCCACTTTACCTTATTTTTTGCAAGGGATTATTGAAATTTGATTATGTTAGAACAAGAAAAAGTAGCTCGCGCGAGCTCATGTAACATAAATGTTGAAAAACCATTGGTTTTGTGGGATTCGGACAGCGCGCGCGGAAGGACATTTTGACAATTTTTTCTTAAAAAACCATTGGGTTTTTGATGTTTTTATGTTAAAATCGTTACGAAACCTAAGGTTTTGGAAGGATTTCGTCTTGCGCGCACGAATGTCCACTTTACCTTATTTTTTGCAAGGGATTCTTGCAATTTGATCAACTAAGAACAAGAATTTTCATTTTCTATTGTTTTTTGCAAGGGAAAACGAGCGTCAACAAAAAACCGGATCCGGTACCAATCGTTTTGCTGAGACTTCCTCACGAAAATGATGAAAATGTGGCTGCGGCCTAGGCGCGGCGGGGGGGTCGCGCACCAGGGGTCCCAACAATAATTATTCTTAAGAAGAAATAATGTTCAACAACAACAACAACAACAACAATCACTTTACCCGAACGCTCAGTGTTCTCACCAGTGCCAGGGTTTTCATGCGACGCCAGCCAATACCCCCACTTTGTGGGGGGGCAGTGCAAGCTCTACCAAATATCCACACGACTCTTCGCCACCACCCACACCCAGCTTCCCGCCCTATGACGTTCGGACACTTCACTTCGTGGCCTGCGGACGACCGTGGCTACTACACTGGCGTGGAGTACCCAGAGAGGTCTAGGGCGCAACCGCAAGGGATTCTGGCCCCTGGCAGGCGCGCGAACCCCGTTGCAAGAGCGTGCGAAAGTAGCTCGCGCGAGCTCATGTAACATAAATGTTGGAAAACCATTTTGGTTTTTTAGGATTCGGACAGCGCGCGCGGGTGGAAATTTTGAAAAGTCGTGCAGGTGTTTTTCGAGGACCTACGGTGCGATTCGTGTGATTTTATGATGCGCGGTGCTAAAATTCTTAAGAAGCCCAATGGTTTTTGGAGATTTCGGCGTGCGCGCGCGAAGAAAAAACGAATGTGTCCCGCATGGTATTATTTGACAGGGATGATGGCCCTGGCAGGTGCGCAACCGTTGTCGCAGAAGTTCGAAAAAGTTGCTCGCAAAAGCCCGTTTGACAGAAATGTTTAAAAAGTGTTGGGTTTCCTACGAATCCGCAAGAGCGCGCGGGATGAGATTTTGACATTTTTTTGTTGAAAAACCATTGGTTTTTTGATGTTTTTATGTTAAAATCGCTCCGAACACTAAGCTTTTGGAAGGATTTCGTCTTGCACGCGCGAATGTCCACTTTACCTTATTTTTTGCAAGGGATTCTTGAAATTTGATTACATTTGAACAAGAAATTTCATTTTATAGTGTTTTTTGCAAGGGAAAGCGGGGGGGAACAAAAAACCGGATCCGGTGACAATCCACTTTTCTGAAGCTTTCGCAGAAAAATGATGAAAATGTAGCTGCGGCCTAGGTTTTGGAGGGGGGTCGTGCACCAGGGGTCCCAACAATAATTATTCTTTAGAAGTAATAATGTTCAACAATTTTACCTTCATGCGCGATGTTTCCACACGAAGCATGCGACCATCATGATAACCATTCCCATCATGGGCGACTATTGTGCTATAGCGGGGGCCGTTATTCCCATTCCCAGATCTCCCGCTCAATGAGGTCTTGCAAACACCGCCTCCGTGGTGTTTCAACATATCCCGGCTCGAAAACGCATGCTCGCGCCTTGCTGCCCGCCGATGCGATACCGCCAGTGGAACCCCAGCCAAGAGTAAAGCACAAGGAAGTATCGGGCGACAGGATTGCCTTGATGTGGAGGGGGGCTGTCAGCGGCGAGGCAAGGACCTGGCCCTCAATAGAAAGGGCGAAAGGCTCGAGCAGGGCCGCTGTTGTTGCTGGGAGTGGCGCCAATGCTGAAGAGAGTAGGGCGCTAGTCCAGCGCAACAAAATGAAGTCTTGAGCGGGAACGTTGGTTTTGTTGGAACTGCGGTTGTCGGCGGCGAGGAGGAACGCCGCCTTGAGTAAGAAGGGGGACGTCTCGAGCGGGAGCTTTGGTTTTGTCGGGACGGGGGCTGTCGGCGGCGAGGAACAACACCGTCCTGAGGAAGAAGAGAGGGAGCCTCGAGCGGGAGCGTTGTTTTTGCTGGGAGCGGCGCCGATTCCAAAGAGAGTAGGGCGTCAGTCCAGCGTAGAACGGAAGGTAGTCTTGGGCGGGAGCGCCTGTTTTGTCGGGGCGGCGCTTTGGGCGGCGAGGAGGAGCACCGCCTTAAGTCAAAAAGGGGGGAAGTCTCGAGCGGGAGCGTTGTTGTTGCTGGGGACGGCGCCGATGAGAGGAACGATGGGGAAGAATAGCGCGCCAATCCCGAGTAAAACGGGAGCAAGTCTCGAGCAGGAA